TCCTCTCCTCCTGCTAAATTGAATATAAACTCCTCTTGCAGTTTGAACTCAGTTTGTAGCAAGTGGAGCAAACAGAAGACAAAGCAGGAAAGTGGGAGGAGAAGAGAGAAACTGCAATGCTTTAAAGGCAGCTGAAAAAGTGGGATGGCCTAGGATTAATCAGGACTGTCCCTGCCAAATCCAGACAGTTGGATTCATATGGCCACTGGCCAGACTGGCTGGCAGTTCTGTATGCTGACTATAAAAAGGTAATTCTGCCAAACTCTTGTTCCACCCATTGTACCACACTCCCCCACAGCCCACTCTCAAAACACAATAATGTATTATCAGCTTTCCAGCTTCTAATATTTCACAGGGTCTCACTTTGCTTTTTTTTTTAAAAAAAATCCTTCCAAAATTCTTATTAAAATTAAAACTGATCATTTCCCTGAAGCCCTGTTTATTTAGTAGTGGGGATAAATATAATCATACTAATAATTCGAAAGAGATCCAATGTGGTGCAGTGGTTTGAATGCAGGACTAGGATTTTGAGAGACCAAGGTTCAAATCCCTGCTCAGCCATGGAAACCCATTGCCTGACCTTGGTCAAGCCATACTCTCTCAGCCTCAGAGGAAGGGAACGGTAAACCTCCTCAGAACAACCCTTCCCAAGAATGCCCTGTAATGGCTTTGCCTTAGGGTCCCCATATGTCAGAAATGGCTTGAAGGCTCACAGAAATAATTAGAAATATGGTAGTCATTGTCATCATTTAAATATTCCTATTATTGTGGCCCTAATCCCAAAGCAAGCCTAAATCATAATGGATAAAATTCTGCAAACGATTGTTGCAGCATGGGCATCTCTTGTTCTGGAAACCAGTTTATCAGCTGTGCCTACATCCTTCTATCATAACCACAGGATTTCTGATTTCCCTCTCCTAGTATCTTGTATTCACTGAGCATTCTCCATCCTCTTCATTCTGTTTTGTTGGATGGAGGGAGATGATCCCTCTCTCCACCAAAAAAATGTTTTTTTTTTCCTGCAGACCTTGTTGCCTATTTCTAACCCTTGGTGTTATTTTGGCTGCATAAACAGCTGTGCTGATGACACAGGCATCAGAAATACATAAATGCTCACCTCTCTGATTCAGAATTTGCTGTGCCACAGGCAGATGTATGGGGGAAAGATGCTCATTTTGCAAAATAGCTCCAGATGACTCGATCAGGTGAGCTAAGCCATGTGCTTGCAGAAATAAGAAGAGAAAAATCTCACCAAGCCATGAGCTGGTTGGCTTGAGGAAAGAACACTCATGGTCTCCCATGCCAGAGTCAAACCATGAGTAAGGTCTCCATTGAATGAACCGGTACATACATTGAATGCATTAGCACATATATTAATTCCAGCAGGCATCACACTGAAATGGAGAAATGAACCTGTTACTAGGAGGAGTCAGGCCTCAGGGTCTGGAGCCTTCTGGCCTGATCCATTTTCTCCAATCCTTAGGGCAAAAGGAGAAGTCTCAGGACAAGAGTGCTGCCTTCAAGTGTGTGTGGGTTCCTCCTTGGTTGGACTTCATGTTTTTGACTTGAATGGCATGCTCTGTGCAACTGTGACTGATGCTTAATGCAGCGTGCTGCATGACATCACTAGGAGCTACCTATTGTAATATCATTCTAGTAAGATTATCAGGGCTCATTGCCTGCGAGATCACAAGGAGGTGTCCATAGATCTCAGGATTTGGCTCTGGCATTTCTGGACTGGAGCATCTCCAGAGGAGGGCAACCAAAATGGTGAAAGGTCTGGAAACCACTAAGCCCTATGAGGAGAGACTTAGGGAGCTGGGTATGTTTAGCCTGGAGGAGAGAGGGTTAAGGGGTGATATGATAGCCCTGTTTAAATATTTGAAGGGATGTCATATTGAGGAGGGAACAAGCTTGTTTTCTGCTGCTCCAGAGACTAGGACCCAGAGCAATGGATTCTCAACATTAGGAAGAATTTCCTGAGAGTAAAAGCTGTTCAACAGTGGAAGACACTCCCTTGGAGTGTGGTGGAGTCCTTTCTTTGGAGGCTTTTAAACATGGTCACCTGTCTAGGAGTGTTTTGATTGTGTCTATCCGTATGCCAGATTAGAGTTGGACTGGATGACCCTTGGGTTCTCCTCCAACTCTAGGATTCTTTGACTTGTGGTAGTCCTCATTTGGCAAACCTACCTGATACCCTTCCGATGGTGTGCCTAGTGTATTTGACACCCAGTGCTGATCATTTTTTAACACATACGTACACACACACACACACACACACTCCTCTCTTCAACAGCCTTTTCTGAGTCTGCTAGAGCTGCTGGCTGGGTAGAAAAGGAAAGAGATGAACTTTCCTAAACCTCGCCAACAGACACGCCAGACCCAGAAGGCAAGCCCTTCCTACCAGTGCACTCACTGAGTGATAGAATGGATGTTATGTGCTATGGACGAAGAAGAAGCAGTGAGGAAGCTCAGGAGGGTTAGAAATGGAGAACAGATGACTCCAGGACCTTACCTAGCATCCCATTAAAACAACAAAGAGGAATCATAATGTTGCATAAGTGCCATTGGTGGCAGGATTTCATCTCTGGGCGTGAGAAAATAGCTCTGTCCTGCCCTAGACCTTGAAAGAGACTTTTGTCTCTCGACTTGATGGTAACTGTAGTCATGGCACAACATGCGCTGTAACAACAATCTCTCACAGGACTCACATGGCACACCTCATGATTCCACCGAAGGACTCAAATCATTTCCAGGATTACTTCACCAGAGGCCCTCCTGCTTACTTTGATGCATCTCTGTTGATATTCAGGGATGTTTGTTTGCAGTTGAGTAAGAATTCTGTGTGATTCTGAAGCTTACATCCCGCCTTTCAAATTCTGAATGGGCAGATCTGGTGGCTAACAAACTGATCTATACCACACTGAAATTTCAATAGAAGAAAGCAGTGAAAAGCTTCTGCTGGAGGTCTCTAGTTCTTTTAAAACCAGGAATGGGGATTCTGTGTCTATCCAGATGTTTATGGATTGCAGGTCCCAGCATTCTTTGCTGTTAGCTATGAGGGGTGTTGGGCATTGCAGTTCACTGTCTCGCTGTCCATCCCTGCTGTAGGGTTCATTGTGGAATGGGAATGTCTGTCCTCCAGTTAGAAACAGGCTTATTGGGCATTTCTTTTAGAGATGCAAGAGGGGAGAGAGAATTTTGTGAGACGCTCCTTTTCACCACTGCAGTGCATCAGGTGCTGGGGAAATTCCTAAGAGGTTTTCCCATTATTGCACTTCTTAAAGATACTGCAGCCTAATCCCGACTTGTCTGAACCATTGTTTTGTTGTGTGCCTTCCAAGCCATTTCTAAGAACTTATTGCGACCCTAAGGAGACCTTATCATGGCTTTTTTTGGCAAGATTTGTCCTCTGAGGCTGAGCGAGTGTGACTTCCCAAAGGGTTTCCATGGCCAAGCAGGGATTTGAACCCTAGACTCCAGAGCTGTAGTCCAGACAGTGCTCAGACCAGCACACCATACTGCCTTAACCCACTGAATCCAATAAGCAAAACCCTTTTCAAAGAGCTCTGTTGTTTCTCTCATTGCATCCCTCTTTCGTAGCCAGCAGAGGACACCAGTGCCCTTTCCAGGCAGTTTTAACACTTGTAACCCAATCTGTTCTTTTCTTTTTCTATGCCTCCTGCTGCTATTCCTGTTTTGAAGCTGGAGCCTTGGCCTTTCTCTCCATAGCAGTTCCCCCATGGTTTCAGGGATTGCTTTTTGATTTTGATTCTTAAATCTAGTGGAAATAATAACACACACCATTTCTTTAGTTCCATGTTCGGTCTGCACATCTGAATAAATAACCCTCTGGTTTTGCAAAGTATCTTGCACAAATCTTCTTGTGTGCCGCCTGGGTCATTCTGGAAGCTGGAGTCCAAAGAAGTAAATTCAGGTGTATAATGCAGTTGGACACTGCAGGAACTGTCATGGCTCCATCCTACAGAATCCTGGGATTTGCAATTTTGTGAAGCACCTAATCCCGACATTATATTCTGACACGTAGTTTTGTTAAATCTAAATAAAAAATGTTCCACCATTGTTAATGTGTTTATGATGACTATGTGCCTTAATTTTAAATGTTATTTTATATACCACTGTATCTTTGGAGGAAGGGTATTATAACAAAGTATCAAATCAATTTTTAAAATGTGAAAAGAACATAAATCTTGAAAAATTCCTTCAAAATGCCTCTAAAACTGCCCTTCAAAAAGTAACTTTCGTACATAACTAGATGCTGATTGCTGTATATAATGTAATGTAAGAAGTACATAATATAATGTAATAAGTTGAGTTTGTACCCGCTTATTAATTATATTTTGACACACAGTTATAGTACTATGATTCCATTTTATAGGCCATGACTTTCATCCTTTGGAATTCTGGGAGTTCTCTGCCTAAATGCTCCTCCCTAAACTACAGTACCCAGGATTCCATAGGATGGAACCATGGCAGTTATGGTAGAATCACAGCACTATAGTTGTGTAGTGTAAAAGGGCCACCGGTGACCAAAAGAACCAAGGGGACCTCATCCCAATGGAGGGCTCTACTTAGGCATACATGATTTCCAAACTCTCAGTCTCGGTTTGACGGATGTCTCTGCATTGTGCTCTTGTTTCCTTCCAGTCAATGTCACCAGCCCTGGCCCCAGCACCACCCCATCCCTCAGGATGTCCCAGATCTCCTCCACCTTGAAGCGCTGCGTCAATTCTCCCCGCTACACCGAAACCTCAACGTACAGCAAGCCCTCTTCCAGTTATGGCACCTATTCCTCCTACTCCTCGAACCTCTCTTCCTCATATCTGGACAAGGAGAAAGTTGGCTACAAGCCCACCACACCTTCCAGCTACCTGCCTTCTGCACACCTGAGGACATCTGGGCCCACATCGTCTTCTTCATCTTTGAACTACGATGGGGGTGGACGGTTCCCCCAACGCCCCGATTCGGGCACCAGGCTGGGTACCAGCTATAGCCGAGTCCCGGTCAGACCCCCCGGGAGTGGAGGGCTCAGTGGCGGTGCTACCAATTACTCCTTTGGCACCGGCTATGGCAGCACTTTGGGCCGGAAAAAATCCAGCAGCCAGTCGGACTTGGCGCGGGACATGTCTGGGATGCGCCTCTCCTCCGACCCATACCGAACAGAGTCCTCCTTGTCCACCACCCGTGGCAGTCCTTTCCTCGCTCGAAATCACCAGGAGCTGTGCTCCCTGCAGGGGATTTACCAATCCACCGGGCAGTCAGATTACATCAAGGATTATCTGGAAAATTATAGCCGGAAAGGGCTCCGTTCCCCGGTCTCCAGCCTCCATGGCTCTACTGCAGAGGTCATCACTCCCACCCTGAGACCCACCAGCCGCTGCTCCATTCAGCAATGGGATCGGACAGACAGTCGGACAGACATCCTGGCCAAGGAGTCTATGGTAAGGCGCTTCTCTCACTTTGGAGACAGTTGTGGGGTGCAACGGGGTCATGTTGCAAGTCTTCTGTGAGACTGCAGTGACGTGCATTACAATACAGTCATATTTGGCATTTGCGGATTTGATCATTCACGGATTTGATTAATATGTTGTCTCTAGGAATCTTTAGGTCCTCCAGTGCAACTCTGTGGTCAGCATCCACCAGACATCATGCTGGAGGACCTAGAGAATCCTAGAGAGAACACTTTTTTAGGCATTTGTATATTCTCCAGCACAATTCTATGGTCAACGTAATGGCAGATGTTGACCACAGAGTACTGTGGTTGACCTGATGTCAACCGATGTTGACCGCAGGCACTGGAGAACCTAGAGATTTCTAAAGAGGTATTCTCAGGTTTTAAAAAAATGATTTTTTTAAATTTGCATTTTTGTCACTTTCATGGAGGTGATCCCTAACTCCAGTGAAAGTGGAGGGCCCCACTGTATTCAATAGTAGAGCTGCCATGTCTGGATTCACCTAGAGCCTGAGATTTCAGTGCCCAAAATCTGTGTGAGACCAAGGGATGGCCCCTTGTGGCGTCACAAATGGCAGGCCCTGGTGATATTACAAGGCTTATGTTACAAGGGTTGGCTCCTGGAGCTATTGTTAATCATGATATATTAAGAACCCACAAAATATGTCGTTCAAATCAAAAACATCAAGTGTAACAAATGCAGAAAATATATTTTTCATGACAACATTCTCTCCTTGAGATTCCTTCCCCTCAACCTCAAGACTAGAGAAGTAGGGCCAGGCCCTGAGGTATACCAACCCTATGCTGTAGAACCAGCATGGTGCAGTAGTTTGAGCATTGGACCAGGAATCTGGAGACCAGGGTTCGAGTCTCCACTCGACCATGGAAACCCTCTGATGACCTTGGGCAAGTCCCACTCTCTCGCCCTCAAGTTTGCAATGGCAAACCTCCTCTCAACAAATCTTGCCAAGAAAACACCATGATACAGTCACCATAATTTGGAAACGACTCGAAGGCACAGAACAACAACCTGTACCTGTCACTACAGGTAGGCAAAATAAGAGTGTTGTTCCCCTGCAAATAAGAATTCTGCCCTGCAAATGAAATTTTCCTTCATTCCCTCACATTTCTAGCATGGCAGTACATTAAAACTTTAATTGTGCATTTCGAAATACTGTAGAGTTTAGGCATCCAAAGTAAAGAGGCAAGCAGAGTGACCCAGGGAATACAAATGCAGCAAACAGGAAGGTTGGAGGTATAAATGATTTTCAATCTCTCTCTCTCAATCTCTCTCTCTCTGCAATGCTAGAAATTTGGGAACTGAAGGAAAATTTCATGGGAGGGAGGAATAGATCTTATTTGGCTCCATTCCCCATATCCCATCACTACATTCCTGCAATCGTGGCACTTTACAGCCCCCCTAAATCGGCTTTCTAGATCTGAAGGGATACATCCCAAAGGAATATTTGGATTGCCAGTGTGCCTGCCTGGCAAGGACAGACGATTGGCACAGCGACTTGTTCATGCTGTGCCAATGTCAGGTCAAAGGTGTTCAAAGTTGGGTCACTTGTTCCAGTGCCCAGCGTTGGCTTCGGGCAATCTGTGTTCCTAGGTTAGGGACACCTGAGAAATGAGTCCAGCCGCCCGTCGCGTGCTCATGGGGACATGGGCTCAAGCAAGGAAGGCTGGACATCTCCATCCGGAGGGAATGGAAACTTTGGCTCAGGCGTGGGTTGAACTCAGTGAGACTCTCATCCGTGGAACAGTCGGTCAAGTTTAAAGTGGTCCGAACATAAAACTGCTTTGCAGTCCACCTGGAGAATGACAGAAACAGAGGAGAGGAAGGAGAGACAAACACACACCAACACAAAACACAGGATATTGGTCAGATGTTCATTGTCTGTATGTGTGCCTTCAAGTCTGTCATGTTTAACTATTTGGAGGGATGCCATATTGAGAGATGGAGTGTGATTTCTGCTGCTCCAGAGACTAGAATCCTTATCACATGGAGCCAAATTGTTTAAATCCCATGCAGAAACAGGATTTAAAAATCCGGGGAAAAACCCCACAAAAGCAGGTTGTTTTTCAGATGTGTTTGTGTAAAAGAGAAATAACACAACACAACATTAATCTGAATGGAAAGTCACCAAAATTCGCTCCTTTCTACTCTCGGAAGTTTCCAAATGTAAAAAGGAGTGGGTTTTGGCAACTTTCTGTTCAGATTAATGTCACATTATTTCTCCTTGACAACGTTGTCTGAAAAACACCGGTTTTGCGGGTTATTTCTACTTTATGTTCGGGTTAACCCTGAATGTCATGTGAAACCCTGAATGTTATGTTTTCACTTTAAATCCAGTTTCTTCATGGGATCCATCCCATGTGATGGGAAAAGAGATTCCACCTCAACATTTGGAAGAACTTTCCAAGAGTAAGAGCTGTTTGACAATGGAATACGCTACCTTGAAGTATGGTGGAGTCTCTTTCTTTGGAAATTTTTAAATAAGCTGGATGGGCATCTGTTAGGAGGACCTGGATTGTATATTCCTGCATGACAATGGGTTGGACTGGATGGTCCTTGAGGTCTCTTCCAACTCTATGATT